CTGTTCATGCAGAAGTTGCAAATAGATGTGTTTGGTTGTATCTATTGGCATAAAAAAATATTTCTCATAAAGTCAAGGAAACGGCTTGGCCCCCAGAGCATCCAGCAGGAACACAGCCCTGCTAACACCTTGGTGTTTGTCCCATATGACGAATCATGTTGGGCTTATTACCTCTAGAACAAAACAAAAAAATGGTGTTATTTTAATTCATTTTTAAAAGCATCACAAAAGCCCATGGGGCAATCTACTCTATTATATGGAATCACTTTGAGTCATAGCCCAAACCAAAACCAAACTCACAGCCATCGGGGCGATTCTGACTCACAGCAACCCCACAAGACAGGGTAGAACACGAGAGGGAGAGAGAGACCAGGTTTCAGCCCGATGCGCCAAGACAGGAATACAACCATCTAGCATGTACCAGAAAACCAATAGAGAAGTCTGCGGGGCCGGCCCCAATCCCAGCTATGTGGACTCCCCCTCTCCAGAAGAATGCACTTCAGTGGATAACACTGAAGTCACAGCTTGGGGAGAGGGGCAACTCTGATTAGAGCACACAGGAGAAAGGAAGAGGGATGGGGAGGGAGGGGAACACATCCTGGCCCACCAAGTCCCAAGGATGATATTCCTGCTTAGAGCAGATAGTACACAGAGAGGACCATAGGGCTGGCCTTACCACAAGACACGATGTCCCTCACTGAACCATAGCACGACAGGGGACAACACTGCAGACACAGTTGGGGAACTGTGCCCAATCTGACCCCATCACACTGGGGTGAAACACTGAGGGCATGCAATTAAGAGCAGCATGGGGAGCAACGTGATGAAATTCCCGGGGAATACCAAAAATAGACTGGAGACAGAGTGTGGTACCTGATCAAAGTCGAGTGGAAAACACTCATAAAGGCCAATAAATGGACCTTGAACTATTTATAGGCTTTTCCATTTTTGTCAGTGGCTTTCTTTTTGTTTTTATTTTGCTTTTGTTGTTGTTATTGCTGTTTTGTTGGTTTTGACTTCCTTTGTTGTTTGTTTGGCTTTGCCTGTTTGTTTGTGTTTTTTTCACTTATTAATGTCCCTGCAAGTCTATCTAGATAAGATAGGCAAGATAAACAATTCAGAGATGATAAGAATGGGACCGATGGTTCTGGGGAGGATATGGGAGAAAGGGAGGTGGGAGAAAGGAAGAGGGCGAGAAGCAACCCATGAACAAGGGAACAAGTGAACTAAAATCAAGGGAGAGAAGGGCGTAGGATGCCTAGTGGGGTTTAATAAAGGGAAATGTAGCAGTGAGGAATTACTAAACCAAAATGAAGACCAAACATGGTGGTGGGACAAGAGGAAATAGAGGAAAGAACCAGGAGGCAAAGGACATTGATAGAGGTCTAAATACAGCCATGTACATATATAAATATATTTATATATAATGAGAGGAGAATAGATCTATGTACTTATATCTATATGTTAAGAATTAGGTTGCAGGTGGCCATTGGGCCTCTACTCAAGTACTCCCTCAACACAAGAACA